GGACTTAGTAAACGTGGCCCATATAATCTAAAATGAATACAGTGTAGCCAAAGGTTTACTCTATATAACAGTTACTAGCGCTCTTCGAAAACGTCAGGGTAAAAATTTTCAAAAATCAGGAAAGATTTGGCGTTACTGCTGAGCTGCTCAAAAACCCATGGCGATAACATTGCAAAGACAGGGTAGATCGAAGAGCAAATATAACTGTAAGAAAGAGAATAGAAATCTGAATTAAATGGTACCTAAGCCGTCCATGGATTGCTGTTCTGTGAGTTTTAGTGAGCGATGAAAGAAACTGACAAAACTTTCGGGACAACCTAATATTTATTTATATGTTTTTGCTCAAAATTTTTGAAGACAGTCATAGGCAAATAAAGGCTTTGTATTGTAGGTTTATTCGTTTTTCTCATTTCTAGTTCTCCTCTGCATACAATACTGCTCATGATTTGTAGAAACGACGCCATTGACATTTTTACGGCATTTGCGTCGTTTTGCCGTGTCATTTAAAATGAACGACTTTTGGCCGCGTAAAACTGCGGTAAATGTTGCACCTAGAATTAATTTCGTCCGCGATGAATTAGAATATGGCTATACGGCAAACTTCGGCGGCAATTGTTTTTCCTCATATTATGATGCACTGTTTATTGCGAATTCTATACACGCTTGGGAAAAGTTCGTACTTAGTTGTAGCGCAACTCGCGTCCGATAGAATGCTCACCTGAAGCAGGAGTAGGCAAAAGGTCAGCACAACCATCGTAATGAATCTGGCTAAATTCTCCATTTAAACGATCTAGCAAGTTTGGCAAACTGCAAATAAACTTTTCAATGCACGTTTTGTAAAAGTATGTTCATTGCTTACCAAATTAGAGATACATGGTCCACGCCGCAGTATATCAACGTAGCAATGAACATTTGCACAGCAAGTGGAAGGTTTTTCATTTACGAGCATAGTTGCTGTAGCCTCGATTGAGATGGAAGCTGCAGGAATAGTACAAAAAGATTCCCCTACTTGAATACTTGAATAATATCCATGCATTTTGGCCGGAAACATCGCTATTCGTGGTTTAGCATACTTGTCACTCATCAACAGTTTTTGATGCAGTGTTAAGTCAAAAACCTTTCATAGTTACAATAGATTTTGCATCACACAGATATCGTATCTGGCTCATCACAAATTGGGCTCAGTACCAGATTCTTTCTCTGCGTGTTAGTACACCGCTAGTTCTCGTTTTTCTTTAGCAGAAGTAGTTTTGCAGGCTCTCTTATTACCGAGCAAGCATTTGCTCCAAAAACTTTATAAAAAATATGGCTGAAAAGTTCTTAGAATCTCCTGGATCTCATTTATGCATCTACCTAAAGCTGACAGTTACAAAGCACCGCTTATTCGGATTGGAGGCGATAGCGCTACTATTTCACAAGTGATAAAACCTGTTTACCTTTTTGGCGACATTTTAAAGCGCTTTGTGAAGAATTGCACAAAACTCTAACGCTGTATTACCCATTTGTAAAAGGCTCTACAAAATTTGATTGAATTTGCAGATATTTGGTTATTCAGTTGAAATTGTAACCACGGTGTCAAATAAGTGGCGGCCACGTTACAGCAAAATAACTTTTAAATGTCTTTTGTAAATGTCTATGTATCGCTTTGTTTTGTCGCAAATATACAGGGTGCGGCAAAAGTCTGGGAGCCTAGTACTTTTTCGTACAAAACGAGAAGGGAAGTATCTAGAAACGAAAAATTTGGCGCACACATAATTCGAACCATTGCAGATACAACCCAGTTCTTAAATTGTAAAACTGCCTCATTTGGCTTCCACGCAGCCCTACAAAATCTTGGCAAGCCCACCTGTCATGGCACGCAGGTAGCCGTAATGGAATACGCCCCACGTCTCTTCACAATAACTGCTTCTTTTACCTTGACAAACGCAGCACGATAGAGCAAGCTTTTATCTACAACCTTCCAAAAGAATTTTTTGCATTGCTTAGGAATAAAATATTGGATTTTAAATTGCCAGAAGCATGTGTACGTCGCATACCGGAATTTGGCTACAATGCGCAAATAAAAACTTAAAAATATCATTTAAAAAGTATAAAAAGTGTTCCCACGGCTGAATTCCAATAGATTCTAATTTAGAAGACGTATGCAAAAAATACAGCCCTGGTCCCAGGGCCTGTTGAGTATTCTATCGCTTTTGAATTTGTTCTGAAGACTGATTTCCACTGGCACGTAGGTAATATTCGCAAACTTTTATTTTCCGTTCATGCAATAACAGCTTCTGGCAAAAGCAAAACTAGGATACAATAGCGCAAAGCCTCTTCTATGTTGTATGCAGTGTTGTTTTGTAAATTAACAGCATTTCTGTTACAGCAAAAATTGTAGATACCAAAAATTCTGGTTTTTTCGCTTTGCAGAAGTACTAGTTTGGTAATTTCCATTCTTACAAAAACATTTGGCAGCCATTTCCAGCCAAATAGAGTGTATTCTGTAGAAGATGACCGCAGCATCATTGACATAAAATTGAAATCAAAAACATCAGTACCTTTGTAATTGCAGTACTGCAAATTTAGGCTCCCAGACTTTTGCCGCACCCTGTACAAGATTGTCAATCACAAAATTGTTAGTAAAGTACCGATTCAGGACATGGGCCCTGCTGCACATTGTGTGCAATAGATCGAAGTTAATTTGCTCTTATGTACTCTTATGTACTGTGGCTTTGTCTTTCATAAGTGACTAGTTGGCAAACCCGGCTCCGCCCGGCCCTGTCAATAACATATTTGTGATCAGCATGCTCGATTACCGCCTGTGCCAACTCCCAGCCCCGTAGCTCAAATTTTGCAAAAAAATCGATAAAATCGATATCGATCGACAACGAAAAGCGGCCTAAGACACGCTCCCTGCCCCAAGTGTATGTGTGTCAAGTTTGGTCCAAATCGGTTCAGAAATAAAAATTTCTATTCCGCAAATACGTACGTACATACATACATACATACAGACATACACACATTCAGCTTTATATATAAGATATGCGAGCTTCGAAGTACAAGGAGAATGAAAATTCCTGAACACCTAATTGAAGCTTATTCTAACTGCAAATCCTGGCTACTTCAGGGATATCTAAATGTTTCAGAAGGCTTTGGGTAGGTGACTGGGGACAACATCGAAGCTGTAATTGACAACACATATTTTGCCTTGTAAAACCAGGGGGTAAAAATCGATTAAGATGTGACCATTTTCTGCTCATTACTGTTCAATCTAATGTTCATAACCCTGGTTCATTTTCAGATCCACTTTAGCCTGCTTTGCTAAATTCATGTATGTTTATTCCGCGCAAGAGATAAAAAAGCTTTTATGAAAAATTGTGAATAGGAGGTTGATTTTGATTATACCCTAAATCTCCATGGGATTTTTACGTATTCTTTTGCTTTCATTTCACTTTAGTCTGAGTACACTACAAACAGAAGTAGCTTTTAATGAAGCAGATCAACTTTCGTAAGATTTTACTCTTTTCAGCTGTATAAAGTTAGTTCGAATACTTAACCTTTATATACGTAAATGGTGTGCCGTCTATCGTTGGCTCTATAGAAGAACACCGTTCCAAAGAGACGGTTGAAACATCTATTAGGTTAAACCGAAAGTTCTGTCGCATCAATTTCAAAAATTTTAACTTCTTGAATTTTCCAATCGATTTAAATGCGTTTATTTTTATAAGAAAAAGTAAGTCATGCTCTTTTTGACATCTTAGTTGCTTACTAATATAGTCATCTATTGCATAGATGGGAGCAGTAGAAGAAAATTAGTCAAAATTCGAACTTTCTGTGTAGGTTCATAAAAATTCGGAAACCTGCCACAAAACTCGGAGCAGTCAGTATTATAGGTTTAGTTACCTGCTCTTTCTAACATTGCAAAGTCTGCGCTGATTGAGCGTCTCTATAAAAAGTTATAGTTTTCGAGCATGCTATAGAAAAGGGCGAATTTGATTTATTTTGGCATTTTTCAGGGAAATCGTAACTTTTCATAGAGACCCTCAATCGGCGCAAACTTTGCGCAGTTAGAAACAGCTGGTGAAAGAACCTACAATACTGACTGCTCCGGTTTTTGTTGCAAGTCTCCGATTTTTCATGAGCCTACACAGAAAATTCAAATTTTGACTAATTTTCTCCTACCGCTCCTATCTATGCAACAGATGACCATTAGTAAGCATCTGAGAAGTCGCTATAAAGGGCACGACTTACCCTTTCATATAAAAATAAACGATTCACGGTTGGAAAATTCAAGAAGTTACAATTTTTGAAAATGATGCGACAGAACTTTCGGTTCAACCTAATAGATTTTTCAACCGTCTCTTTGGAACCGTGTTCATCGATAGAGCCATTGAAATTGAAAGCAAAGGAATACGTAAAAATTCCCATAGAGATTTAGGGTATAATCAAAATCACACGACTCCTATTCACAATTTTTCATAAAAGCTTTTTTATCTCTTGCGCGGAATAAACATACATGAATTTAGCAAAGCAGACTATAGTGGATTTGAAAATGAACCAGGTTGTGAATATTAGATTGAACAGTAATGAGCAGAAAATTATCACATCTTGATCGATTCTTTACCCCCTGGTTTTACAAGGCAAAATATGTGTTGTCAATTATAGCTTCGTTGTTTCGAACTTTCGGTTCAACCTAATATCTACTGTATCGAGCAATCACTAATACCAAGGATTTCTAGCACGTTAGCTGATCATGTATTCTTAGTGAAATGATTTTTTTATGTGTTATCATTATAACATTTTGTGTTAAAAACTCCTCGCGCGCTACGAAGAATGTGAATTTGGAATAATGTGAGAGGAGAAAACTGCTTCAGAAAAGACCCCCAAAAGACCGATTAATTAATTTCCTTATTCATTGAAATAAATTCACAGCATTACCCTGTTTTTTAAAAACGTTGATCTTACTCAGGAAAATCGCAAATGCAAACGCAAATGCAACAGACAAAACGGCAAATAAGTTAGTCTAGTAGATACACATATCCACTTGTGAAATTGACCATGAACTTATTGGCTTCGGGCAATAACTTTGTCTTCCGAGGGCGTTTATGTTTCTCGCATCTTTTTCCATTGAAGCAATTGTACAGCTTGCGACTCCTGAAAACCAGCAGATTTTTTTCTCGAAGCTGGCAGTTGATTGAAAAATAACCTAAAAAATGAAAGTTGAGCTTACGATTACATACTTTGGTGTGCAAATTGTAGCATATCGACAAACAACATTCCAGTAACCTCCATGCTTGTCGCATCCGTTTACTGCACAACCTACAGCCGTTTTCCATCCATTCAGCATCTATAATACCTTTGAAGATCAAAGAATTCCGATCTCAAAACAAACCCGCGAAAACGGCCCGTATTTCTTATCTTCATGAGGAGGATTTAATACATTTAAATGGCGACAGCCTAAACTTTTGACTCATCATGCAAAAGAAAGTGTTGGAGACTCTGATTACCTGTTTGATTGCAGATAACGATGTGTGTACTTGAGCCATAGGAATTTTAGTCCTTAAAACCTCTACACAAGCAGAAGTTTTGAGTTCGTAAGGGATGCACCATCGTGAATCTCTGGCAGCATAGTGCTCGAGTTCGCAGCTATACCTCTGTAACAAGAAGTTTTAAAAAAGTCTAAAAAAGTTGATTGCTTTACGTACCACTTTAATCATTCCAGCTTGATTTGACCATGGCTTTTTGTGCATTTTGCTGCTTTTAGAAATGAGCCATGAACTGAAAACTTTTTTCAAACAAAAATGCTATCTATCTGTACAGTGAAAACTGGACTGTTTAGACTGTTCTAGCTGTTCTCAACCAATTTTCTCTACATGAAATTTGGTGCACACATACACATATAATGATAGAGTTCTATGAAAGTTTTAGTTAATATTATAAGGACTTGCTTCACCTGCTCTTGTGGACTCTAACGGCCAAGTTTCTGGTGGTGTCATTTGCTTGAAAACTATTGTCGCATGAAGTCCCTAAAGCCACTTACACATTTATCGCGAAAATAATGCTATTATCATAAGCTTACCAAAATCGCTTTCTGCATCTGTTCTTGCCATTACCGCTAGCTTAACGAAATTTTTTTGATTAAATCTTCAAACCTTACCATGCGGATGTTGAGTTTCATCAAGAACATTATATGCGAACTTTTTTCGTTCCGGTAAACGCAAATAAAGTAAATGGAGAAGAGAAAACTCCTGCTTTTAGTGATCAAAGGCGCTGTTCTTAGACATTGTACCAAAAGGAGTAGGAGAATTCAATCAAAAGACCTAGGTTCTGAACATCATTGCCCAAAATTTGGTGTTCTCTTATTTGAAAAAATGGAACTTCGGAGGATATCAATTAGATTTGAAAAGTTTTGACTTCTTTGGCAAGTGAACGTGATATCCATAATTTTGGAATTCAAGGTCATTATCTCTGAAGTATATAGATGGAGCTTTTTATGTCATAATAGACCCTGACCTATAATTAAGCGACCCTGAAGTTCAGAGCAAACTAAGGGGTCTATTATGCTTAGAATTCGTCCCGAAAAGTGGCCCTGACCTTACGGTAGGCCCTCACACCGACCTTCCGAATTGCATCTTAGCCTTGGCGGGCTTCCGTGTTCAAGTTCTAGTTCGAACATGAGGCTTCGAGAAAAGCTCTTTTTAGATATTTTTACGCTGTGCAAGCTGATCGAAGTTAGCGGAAAGCAAGCTCAGGTAAGTGGAAGATCTTTGAGCTCAGTTTTTGTCAGGACGCTGCCCTTAAGTAATTTTTATTATGCTTCGATCAAGCCAAGCTTTCATGTCGAATGCAGTGTTATGTCTTTGGTCAAACAATACAGCTTTGGTGAACGTTATCTTACTTATTAGTGGCATTCATATATACTCCAGACACTAAGAGAATCTTTCGATATCAACTCTGTTAAAAAAAAACTCGCTTGCTCTCCAACATTCAATGAGTTCGATTCATAATGCGATGTGATAAAGCAGGAATTAAATCTACTGTGCTTGCGCAAACGATTTGTGCAAAATGGAGCTTTTACTCGTTTGAAAGCAGATGTCGATGAACCGTTTATTCCAATCGTTTTGCCCTTTTCTATGTATGTGATAAAAAAACGCTTGATTATTTCGCGCCATATTACTTATCCTATAAGCCTTTAAATCATCAAACGACTATTGAAATTTCTATAAAGCATTTCAGATAGGGCGCTCACCTGAAACAGAAGTATGTGAAAGGTTAGCATGGCCGCTGCAACGAATCTGCTTTAGATTTCTACTTAAATGGTTTAGCAGGTACAACAGAGGTACAAACAGAAAATGGAAACAAATTAACAACTTCATTACATGATTTCTTTCACAAGTTCGTATTTTCGGAATTAATTAATGTTTCACGTTGCAGCCTAGCAAAATACAATAAGCATTTGCACAACATCATGCACGTTTAAAGCACTTTTCATATTTGCGTGTTTCGATTCGGAGTAATAAAGTCAAACACCAAAATCAAGTCGATCTGGGGATTTGCCTAAATACATATAATCTTTGGTCAGCATGTCAGGTCTAAGGGTTCATGACGCCCTTACCTGATGTGTAGCGGGTGTATATAGGTCTTTACTCTAATATTTATCATACATAGTTATATACAGAAAGGGAAAGGGAAAGGGGGAAGAGGGCACCGGCTCCTGCCGGCGGGCGGAGGTCACTGCCAGAGGTTGGCTGTCTTCGGCCAACCTCCTTCTCGAGCAGCTGTTGTAGCTAGCTGCGTCCCGACATCTCCATTCCTTCAGGAAGCTCGTCCTCGAGCTTGATAGATTGAGGTTTCGAATTGTTGTAGTTAGGATTGGCGTGGTTGATGTTCTTCCGGGTAACGTGCGTTGGAATATGCACGTAATATACGGCGAGAACGTACAGTTGACGTGATGATATATTAAAATACATACAGATGTGAGGATATGGATCCGGTGGACTGCGAGCAGACACGACCTTCACCTAGAATATCCTATGGCGCTGAGTAAGATCGTCCTCGAGCTTGAAGGTAGCTGAGGAGAGGGAGAGGAACTGCGGAGAGATGCAGTTGTGTGAATGGGGTTCCCGACATGATGCTGGGAAGGAGTTGGAGTGGAATTGTAGGAAATGGAGATGGACCGATTGCTTTTAGGGCATGGTAAAAATGGAGTTGATCGAAGGGCAAATGATTTAACATTTGGGGTGGAATTAACAGCATGTAGAAAAATTGTAGTATGAAATTACTGAACATACGAAGTAGATGGTATGGAAAAAAACTGGTTAACACAAAATAGTTTTACGGTGATAATAATGGTAAATTAGTGATAAATTCATGATACACGCAGAAAAATTTTAACAGTAATTTCTAGGCAATTATAAAACATAATTCAATAGTAATTTTACAAAATTACAAAATTTTGTTCACAGTAACATTTTCTGTGAATAATTGCATGTAAAAACAGAGGCGTAGCGAGTTCATATGTTGAATTGGGCACTGCACACTTTTTTTCCATTCAACATAAGGGCAAAATTTGTTTGTTACATAAAAGTTATTTGATGTTGAGCTGCCTAATGCGAAAGATTTCTTTGAATTGCCTGTTCAAAGAAAATTTAAGGTACGTAAATACGCGACGGTGCAGCAAAAATGGGGAAACAAACTAACCTTAGAGAATAAATAACTACTCATTGCAAAATATCGAATGTATATAAAAATTTAACGAGCAATTATTCATCCTCTCCTTCGGAATCGATGTTTGGATCCGCTGTAAATGATTCATTCAGTTGCAAACGAGGAGTTCGTTTGGCAAGCTGAGTTTGTTCAGCATTTTCTGGAGTTTCCGTTGGCGTATGTGATATAGTGAGTTTTTGGGGGGGAAACTCTAGCCAATGTTGAACTATGAGAATAGATTTTGAGTCTATTCATATGGACACATTGAGTTTTAGTAGGTCCAATCAGGTTAGATATAGTGACATTCGGACGATCGACTTGCACAACCATAAAAGGGCCTTTCCACTGGTATGTGAATTTTGGACGAATAGTGTCGTCTCTTAGTAATACTAAATCTCCAGTGGAAATTTCCTTGGAAAAAACTTTATTATGGAAATCATAACCTGACTTATACGTCGCTGTTTTGCTGGCGATCTGGTTGCCAACTTCCATGATTGTGGTTTGCAGTGCAGTGGTCAGCTAGTCCGTGAAACTATCGGTTGCGTAGGAGATCCTCGACGGTAACTGATGGACTATGTCGCACCAGGTGATCGAATGACGACCATAGGCAACGAAATACTATTTCTATTTCCTGTGGTACCATTGATACTAGTGTAGGCGAAGAAGTTCGGCTGCAGAAAATCAGACCATAGCTCTTTAGCTTTTGGAACAGAAGCCTAGAGAGTCTGTAATCATTTTAACCATCCTTTCGACTTGCCCATTCGTTTCGTAGTTGTAACTAGTGGTGAACATGTTGCCATGTACTCAATTCATTTTCGCAAACACCTCACTAGAGTAATTAGAACCACAATGGGACACTAATGGGACACTAGTTCGTTAGGAATGCCGTGTTTAGCCATGACATCGTTTATCCTAGCTCTGACAACGGTCTGTTGTCGGGTTGGGATTGCGGTGCAGATCATGAGTTTGCTTAACGCACAGGCGGTGATGGAAGTAAGTTGATTACAGTTGATACACATATTAAAGGACCAACAATAACCTGCAAACGTTTTAAAGGTCGTTGGGAATTTGGAAATAAACCTAATTCCTCCCGAATAATGTTTACAAAAGGTATTTGATTTTCTGACAAATTGGGCAGTTTCAAATTGAATTTCTGACGAGGGTTTGTAAATGTTTCCAAACGTATTTAGCAGATATGTTTTTTTTTGTTTTTTTTCGTACTCCTAAAGGCGCTCCCAAAACTTATTATAAAAAAAATCTCAAGTATCTTATCTTGACAGGCCTATCAAGAGTAATCTATCGAGATGTATTGTCAAAAATGCAATAAAGAGAATACCTGCCCAAATTGTCGGAAAATCCTGCTGGTGGAAACTCCAGCTCCGCGTTGTAGAACTTGATGAAGTCTCCATAAATGGAATCCTTCTGAGGTTTGCTGGATATGACCAAAGATGGTACTGTATGCACTTGTGCGCTATTTCCGCAATAGGATAGCGACTATGGAAATCGCATAGAGTATTGTGCTTTCCAGCATGATACTCAAACTTGAAGTCGTACGCTTGTAAGGTGATTCGATATTTGGCGAAACGGCCCACGAGATCTGAACTACTGGCGACATAGGGATAGAAATGCTCCAAAGCGCAAAGTATAGCCAGGGCTTCTAGCTCTATAATCGCATAGTCCTTCTCGTGTTTTGTTAGTGGATGGCTGCATGCTATTGGATGTTCACTACTAGTCTCCGGATTGACTTGTAGGAGGCATGCGCCGAGACCAATGGGAAGAATGCTTTTTGATCCTCTTTCCAGTAAACTCTGCATCTTTTATAAGAAGACTATTCAAGAGGTTCGCTGTAATGGCAAACGGAGAATGAATCTTCGAAAACAGGATGCGACTCTTAAATGAGTGAGGTTTGGAGGTCAACATTCTGCGCTAGATATAACAGCGACTTGGTTTATGAGAGCGCCTATCAAAAATAGAAATATTTGTGTAGGGCCTCAGATTACTGCAGATTTTTATTTTAAGCTAGCTAATGCGAACAAGTCCATAG